CCCTGTCTGCGTTCGTAGTTTCCCAGGTCTATGCCTCCCCGCCTCCGCCCGGCCCCCCGCACCCCAGCCCCCGCCACTGCTGAGCGTGGACGAGCGCGGGACGCGGCCGAGGAGCAGGCGCGCCCACTCGCGCCCCTCCCTGATTCCGAGGGCTGTCCTTTGCCCTCCGTCTTTTTCTGCCTGTGCCCCGCCGTGTTCGCGAACTCGGAACTCCCTTCAGTGTGCGCCCCTTCCTCCTCCTTCTTCATCATCATGGGTTCCTCCCCATTCCTCCTTCCTCCCTCCTCCCTCCTCCTTCTCTTCTCTTTCCCTCCTCTCCTCCATTTCCTGCCTCCTCCTCTGCTCCTCCTCCTCTTCCTCCTACCCCCTCCCTCCTTCCCTCGCCTCCTTCCTCCTCCTCGTGTCCTCGGTCCTCCTTTCCTCATCCCTCCTCCCCCCAATTACCTCCTCTTCTACCTTCCTCTTCATCCGACCATTCCCCTGCTACTCCTCCTGCTCTCCTCCTCCTCCTCCCTTTCCTTCCTTCCTTCCTTCTTCCTTCCTCTCGTCCTCCCTCGTCCTCCTCCTCCGTTCCTCCCCCCTTATTCCTCCTCCTCCCTCCTCGTCCCTCCTCCTCCTCCCCCCTCCCTCTCCTCTGCTCATCTCCTCCTCCTCATTTTCCTCTCCTCCTCCTTACTCGTCCTCCTCTTCCTCCTCCTCATCTTCATCCGCATCGCCCCAGTAGGTGGGGCTGGAGAACCGCACAGCATCGCCGATGCATCGGCGATTCGGCTCAATGCGGAGCCGATTTTCTCCACGCCGTCGTTCAATGGAGAAGAAACGCCATACACATAACTTAAACGTTCGACGCTCCGCGCAGATTTCTTGGATTCGCGCGGCCCCCCCCCCCGGCGGCGCCTCCTGCGCCGACCCTGGCGCGTGTAAAGATATCCGCGCGGAGCGCCACACATTTATGTTTGTTGTGTTGTTTTCTTCTCCTAGACGCATCGGCGGTGCGGCTCGATGCGGAGCCGATTTTCTCCACGCCATCGTTGTTGATGCATCGCCGACGTCGCCGATGCATCGGCAATGCATCGGCGATGCGGCGCGATCCTCCGATCCCATCTGCTCGCCGGGTCCCATTTAGAAGGTCTCTATCTTCGGGGCGGGCCGCGGCCGTTCGAGGTCGAGGGCTCGGCGCCGTTCGATGTCGAGGGGGGTGGGGGCGGGGGAGTTTCGGGTTCGAGGCTCCAGTTTTTCGTATGGCTCGTCGCTCCTCGGCGGTCTTCGGGCCTCGGGGTGCCCTCCAGCGCCTGCTCCTTGCCGAGCACGCTGTGGAGGTGCGCGGATTGTCCCGCGCGGCCGCCGGCCAGACGAGCGTCTTGAGCCGACGCTCCTCGGGACAGCCAAGGCGCCAGCCGCTGGGGCTTCCGAGGCTCGGGCCCTGCCAGGGGCAGCGAGAAGCCAGCCCCGGGGGAGAAGAGGTCGCGACATCCAGGGGCGTTGCAGCGGATCTCTGGGCATCCCTGCCGCGCCCCAGCCCCACGGGGAGCCAGAGAGGGGAGCACGGATCGGGGGCAACGCTAGGAGGGGATCGGCTCAGGGGGGGACGCATCGGCCCCAGATCGCCCATGCATCGCCGATAAGGGGACCGAGGACCCGCCGTGTCGAGGAACGCGGAGCTTCGCTATCGGTGGCCTATCTCGCCGAGCTATCGGCGACGCATCGCCGACTCCAGCTCGAGGCTTCCCTCACTGAGCCGGCACCCGCCGAGCGTTCTTTTGAGGGATGGCAGGGCCTTGGGCCCACTTCGGCTTGACTCGATGCCGTTTCGGCCCGGCTCGCGTCGGTCCGACGTCTCTTCTTTCGGGCGAGCCGGTGCGGCCCGATGATTGAGCGGCCCAGCTGTGCATCTCGGCGCGGCCGTTCGCTCTCATTCGGGATCCGAGCCGTGGCGGCCGGATCCGATGCACGCTCCGATTTCGATCTGACCTGGCGATTTGTTGCTGAGCGCTCCTGGATGGGGCCCTGAGCACAGGAGTGGGCTTCTTCGGTCGCAAGTCATGGGCGCCTTATGTACCCTCGCAATTTTGTCTTCAGCGTCGATTGGCGTCGATTAGCGTCTGGGGGTCGATGAGATAGCGCCGAATCAGTGTCGGCTAGCGTCGATTAGCGTGGATTTAGCGTCGATTAGCGTCGATCAGCGTCGACAAGCGTCGATGAGCGTCGACTAGCGTCGATGAGCGTCGATTCGCAGGAGGCTCCTGCGAGTGGCCACAGGAGACTTCAAGGCCGAGTGTGCCTTGACCAGCCTGGCCGCCCGCAGATGCGCGAGGGTAATGGTATGTCGGGCGTGTCCCCATACAGGGGGATTTTCGACGAGAAGTAAAAACCCCCAAAATACCCCAGAAAGGCCAAACAATAGTCCAAAAATGGTACCCAGGCAATTTTTGTAATATTTTGTTTATTATGTTTGGGGTATTCCTTATTTTTCGTCGAAAATCCCCCTGTATGGGGGACAGGCCCGACTTAAGGGTACTGCCGCGCGTCGCCGTCGCCGCCCGGGCCGGAGAGGCCAGATAGGGGGGCGGCGCGTGGGCGCGGAGTTGCCGCCGCGTCGCGCCTTGCGGGGCGCGGCGCGCGGAGTGGTGCGACCAGCCTCGAGGCCTTCTCGAGGCCTCCTCGAGGCCTCATCGAGGCCTCCTCGAGGCCTCCCCGAGGCCTCCGAGGTCTCCTCGAGGCCTCTGGGGCCCCGCGTCTCTGGGCCCCATCGATGGATTGCCGAAGTGCTGCAGCCGGACCGAGGTAGAAGGTCGAGGTCGGTTAAGGAAGGGCGCCCTGGTGTTTTTTCCGTGTCTGTTTGGAAGCCCTTGTGCACCCTGGGCCCGAGGGCCGAGGGCCGTGGGCGACTAACCTTCGGGCGGAGCTTGCCCATCCCCCCCTCCTCCTCCTCCTCCTCCTCCTCCTCCTCTCCTCCTCCTCCTCCTCCTCCTCCTCCCCTCCTCCTTTAACTCCCCCTCCACCCGTTCCGACAGCACGTGCCCAACCCCCCCCAGCGGATCCAAGGGGGGGGGGGGGGGCGATTATTGCCCCATCCAGAGTACCCTGGTGTATTTCTTAGTGTCTGTTTGGATGCCCTTGTGCACCCTGGGGAGGGTAACCTTAGATGTTCTGTGTGTTTTGACCGCCGGTATTTGCATGCTGGCCGATTTGCCATTCGGTTGCCCCGCATCGCCACACGCTGGAGCGGACTGCCTCTGCCTCGCCGCAGACGAAAAAGTGTTTTGGCCGACGGAGGCTCTCGCATTCTTGAACGATGCTCTTCTGGCCTGGGCCCGACTGTACCAGACGTTTGGCACAGAGAGGCTTGCAGCAGTGCCGTCCCAACCTGCAGAGGTCTGGAGCTGCTGGGGGGACCCCACTGAGGGAGGGGCCAGGCTCGGCCAGGCCAGGGTCGGGGAGATGGTCCGTCGATGCCCTCCGAAGTGAAGGCCCCGGTCCCCGGCCTCCGAAGGTCAAGATCGACTAACACAGCAACACGTTTAGATCCTGCGTCCCTGCACGAGGAGGAGGAGGAGGAGGAGGAGGAGGAGGAGGAGGAGGGCACGCCAGGATATCCGGGGCCCAGCACGAGAGCTTGGGAGGAGCGAGATTCGAACGGCGTCCCGCTTGACGGAAGCACGAGGGCAATTCAAAGGGGGGCCGCGATCAGATTTTTCTGGCACGCCAGGTACCAGGGCTGCGCAGGGTGGCGTTTCAGAAGGGCCAGAGAGACAAGGCATGTCGTTTGCGATGTCAGGTAGACGTAGGATGAACAGAAACCCTTCCAGAGCGTTCCGGGACGCTCTCAGAGCGTTTTGGAGCGCTCTGGAACGGCCTCAGTTCCCACATCTTCCAGACCCGCCAGTTCTCATAGATCCTTGATTCATCTCCATCCGAATCTATATTAATCCTCGCCTTTACCTTAAAGATTCTCTTTCCTCATGTTTGCCCTTTCGGGCCTCCTGGCTGGGAGGCTCTCGTCGCTCTGGCCGAATTGACCTCGGAATCTTGGTCCGAACGCGCCCTGTCAGAGGTCAAGGGAGTAGCGGCATCGGCATCCTCTTGATCCCTGACGGAGAGCTTTCCAATCCTTGTAATCTTTGGGGGGTGATTAAACGATTCTGCGTGGCTCCAAGGGGAGATCCACATTCTGACAACGTGCCACCGTCCGTCCGTGCAATTGGATATTGCAAGCTGCAGGGCCATGATCGGTGAGGGAGCCTTAAGCGAACCGCCTGGTCCGTCCCACTGACATGCGGGGTGGTTTAAAAGTAAGGGGGATGCCAGAGAAGGAGCAGCAGCAGAAGGAGGAGGAGGAGGAGGAGGTTGGGGGAAGGGTTGGGAAGAGAAGCATATTCATACTAATCATATGAAGAAGAAGAAAACGAAGAGGAAGATGGGGGAAGAGGGCGAAGAGGACGGATGGAAAAGATGGGCGGAGGAGGAGCAGGAGGAGAGAGGGGAATGGATGAGACGGGGCGGGAGGTGGAGTTGGAGGAGGATGAGGGCAGACGGCCGGACGAGGAGTGGGAGGATGTAGGGTGGGCGGAGGACTGGGGAGAGGCTTGTTGACAATATTGCCGATACTTCTGATGATGATGCTGATGCTGCTGCTGATGGTGGTGGTGATGATGATGCTGATGATGATGATGATGATGCTGATGATGATGATGGTGGTGATGGTGGTGCTGCTGCTGATGATGATGATGCTGGTTCTGAAGCTGCTGATGATGAGGCTGATGATGATGAGTATGCCGATGCTGATACTGGCGAGCATGAGCATGATTCTGATACGGTTATGTTGGTGGTGGCCATTTCTATTATGATTCATTTGATTGTGGTGATGACAGGGGTCATGGTGAATATAGGGGCCTCGACGATGACGATGACGACGATGATGGTGATGATGAGCAGGAGGAGGGGGACGAGGGGGATGATGAAGACAATAGGTGGAAGGAGGATGGCGCGGCCATTGACAGGCGCGGGAGCGGGACTTGGCCTTCCTGCCATCCGTCTCGGTGCGGCCCTTAGGGCGGTGGCTCAGCCCTGGTGAGCCCGTTTCAGGCTCACGCGATCGCCACGAGCCAACGGTCACAGTAGGAAGGGCATGCCGAAGGGGTTTGATGAGACGTATCTCGAGCTCTGGTGCCGTTGGCGTGCTGCCCCGTCCAGGGCTTAGTTGGCGTAGCGGATTGACGTTTGGACCCTCCTTTGATTCTCTCTCTCTCTCTCTCTCTCTCTCGCTCCCTCACTTTTTTTCCGCTCTCTCTCTCTCTCTGTTCCCCTCTCACGCTCAACCTCAGAAAACTGAGGTCGAGTTCCGGTACCGATGCTCGACACCGATGTCCCTGCCTGCCCCGTTTTCGCTCCGGCGGGGCTCCCGGGGTGCCCCCGTCGCTGCGGCGCCGGACTCGCCTCGCTGAGGCCGTGTGTCGTGGGCTGGATCGGGGGCCGCGTGTCCGTCCGCCCGCGGGTCGGGGGCCGGGCCGGGGGGGGGGGACGAATGTCAAAGGAGGGCGAGCTGAGACAACGGTAGTCTTAGGTCGGGCCTGTCCTCCTACGGGCGGGTTTTTGGGAGGAAAGTGACAACTATTCCAACAACAGTCAAACATTGTAGAAACAGTCGCAAGATCGTCCCCAGACTATTTTTTGATTTTTGTTTGAATGCTCCTCCAGTAGAGGGACATGCCCGACTTAACGATAGTTGGCCTTCGGGAGGTTCTTTTGTCGCTATGGCTGCACGCAGTTCGGAAAACTGGAGCGTCTGGACCCGAGAGGGGCCAGGGACCGATTTTGAGCTGCCATTGAGCTCCCTCGCCTTGCTCCGAGCACCGACCCCCCCGAACGCCCACTCGTCGCCGAAGGGGGCCCGATGTAGCCTGCCTCGCTCGGGAACGTTCGGTGCCGCTATCAGGGGCTTGTCGCCGATCTGCCAGCGACGCATCACCGCTTCCAGCTATATGTCCCTCCCCCGCGAGAGCTGGTTCCCCCGTATCGCTCCCCTTTCCGCCTCGGAGATCGCCCCCTGGATCTCTTCTGAACCGGCGCGCTGGGGTGCAGGCCACCAGGAGGGCGGCGCAGTAAAACGGGGTCGTCTGCGCCGGCATTGACGTGTAAGTTGCCCGCGTAAGCTCGCGCGTGAGCGTCCTCGCTTCCAATATAGCGTGCTGCGCCGGCGGCCCGCGTAAACCGCCGCGTAAGGTCGCTATGCCATCTCGCGTAAGACTCGTTTTTGATCGTAGCTCCTCCTCCTCCTCCTCCTCTTCCTGCTCGCTCTTATTCTCTGCGACTCCCCCCCCGCGGTTTCTGCAGCGATTCCAGCCCAGTGGCCGCCCGCCCCCTTCGGCCCGCGGCCCGCTGATGCAGCGCGCCGTCGAGCTGTTGGTTCAGGCGTGCGGTGCTGTGCTCTACCAGGGTCTGCGAGCCACGCCCTTCGAGCGGCTCGGTGGCCGCCCACTGCCCTTGACGGACCAGGAGGCCCCAGCGTTCGGGTTCTCCTGGCCGTCCCATGCGGCGGGCCTCGGAGCAGCGGCGGAGTGCCTTGCTCTCGAGGTTTCCGTCGCCTGCCACACCGTCTGCCTCGGGCTGGCGGTGGACTTGAGCGGCGGGGTCTCTCCTTTGCTGCTCGCGACGGTCCTCTCGCTTCTGGGAGTGACCGCCTGAAGCTTCTGCGGGGGCAGCTGTCTCGCGGGCCTGCCTGTCCGCTGCGCGAGCACTTTCCTGGTTCGCTGCGCTTGGCGCGCCACCCCCAGCGCCCGCGAGGGCAACTGCTCGGGCCTTGGCCTACAGCCCTGGCCCCCAAGCCGTCTCGCGCGGCGCGGCGGCGTCGGCCCTTTGGCCAGCGTCGCCGCTTCGGGGTTAGTCCCCGCGGGCCGGCCTTCGGGACGCCCGCGCGGGCTCGCCCGCAACGTGCGCGCTGTCAGTTCCGCCGCGGATTCGACGCGTTTCACAGTGGGTACGACAGCCATTCAGCGCTGGTGACGATTTCCGTAATGCCAGCTGTGCCAGAGGACCCCGCGCGGCCCGAGCTCCATCCATTCGAGGCGCCATCTGCGGCGAGCGACGACAGGTGGCGGTTCGACGAGGGGGACCGCAGCTTCGCGTCTGTATCGCTTGCTCAGCGGGATGGTGGCGCGGTGCTCGCTCTTCCCTCGTTTTTTCCGCTCGGCTGCCGAGCTGGCGGCCGCGGAGGAGGGCGGCTTCTCCGGGCTGATGGCCCGCACTTGGTGCTGGATGTGTCGCTCTTTGGGGCAGCCTCCCGCGCGCTGGCCACCACGGCTTCCGTCCTGGTGACCGACTTGGAGGTCAACGAACTGGAGCTCGAGTACTTGACGCCGTTGCCAGGGCCGACGCTGCCAGAGGACGTCGCCCCGTTCGCTACGGTACGGAGTCGAGACTGCTGGCCGCGCCCGTCCATGGTGAGGCTGCTCCGCGAGCAGTTCGCCGCGCTCCACGGAGCCCCCCCTGCCGACGGCGAGGAGGACTTGCTGGGAGCTGAGCGGGCGGCGCCGCATCACGCGGCGTCGGAGGGCGTCGAGGAGATCGGGCCCATTTCGGATCTGGGGGCGGCGGGCGACGGCGAACGCGAGCCCAGGGGCCCGGGGCCGGGAACGTTTCGTTCCCGAGCTCGGCCCGGGCCGCGCGCGCTGGCGCCAGGGTCGCCGCTGACCCCCACTGCTCCGCGGGAGAGGTGGGCGCGGGGGGCGGCGCCGGCCCCGGGGCCCCCCCCGCGCCGGTCGCTTCCCGAGCGCAGCCAGCGTCCGAGCGGGCGAGCGGCGGCTCGCGCATGGCCGGGGGCATTCCCGCCGCAGCGGGCGCGCGAGAGGCCCCCCTGGGACCCGCGAGCAGCAGCAGTCAGCGCATCTACGCCCGAGCTGCCTGGCTGCAGGATGCGCGGGCTGCCTGCGCGTCGCCGACGGGGTGGGCCGCGGCGCCGCGCCGTGGAAGCGGCGTTCTGTCGCGCGGCGCGAGACTGCTACCCCGACGCGGAGGCGGCGCCCCCTTCGGCCAGCGAAGCTGCGGAGCGGAAGTTGCGCTTCAAGCGGCTGTGCGACGCCGAGCCGCTGCTGGTCCACCGCGAAGGCAGCCGCGCCGCCCAGGGCGCCGAGTGCGTTGGCAGCGGGGGGGGGGGGGGGCGCCGCGCAGGCTCTCGCCCGCGCCAGGGGCCGCGGCGAGGGGGCGCGCGGAAGCAAATCTACTGCCGGACACTCCTGCGTGCTGCCCGCCTTGGACGCAGCGGTGTCCGAGCGTGTCCTGGCTGCGCGCGCCGAGCGCGCTGCCTTGCGCTCGGCGCTGCGCGACGCCTCGGACGCCCCCGCTGGCCGCCCGCCTGCGCCAGGCCCCTCCTCGCTCGCGCGCGCTCGGTCTGTCGCGTCCGCCGACGCCGAGCTGGCCGCGGTAGAGCAGGCTGGGCGCCTCGAGCTCCAGGCGCCCCGCGACGCGCGGGCGGGCTCTCAGTTCGGGCGCCGCGCCCCGAGGCGCGCGACGCATCCGAGCGCGCGTCGGCGAGGCGTGAGCTGGCCGAGGGCATCGCGAGTCGTCGGTGCGCGCGTCGGCTCCAGGAGGCGGCCGGCCGGGATGCGCGCGGGGAGCGGCGGACGGCCGCCGCCCAGATCGCTCGCGACACTCGCCGAGTGCGGAGGGCAGTACTGCGCAGCGCGGAGGTGGCGCATCCCGCTGGCCTGGCGCGTCGGGCGCTTCGGCAGCGGGACGTTCGCGCGCAGAGCTGGGGGCCGAGCGCCAGGCCAACCCGCGCGCCAACGCGCGACTGCCCGACGATCTTGCCAGCGCCCTGTCGCGCGGCAATCGTCGGGCCGTTTGCCGACGGCTGGGGCCCCGCGACGAGGCCGTCGAGGACAGGTCGAACCTGGGAGGCAATTCCCCGAGTTCGGCCAATCGCAGCGGGGCCCGCCGAAAGCGACGCGCGGCTTCCAAGCGCCAGGCGAGTCGCGCGGCTCCCACCCGCCCCTGCTGAGGGGGGGCCGCGCCTCCGCCTGGCCGCCGTGCTCGGCGGGCCGCGAACCGCCGCGCATGCGGCGTCGCTTCTGTCGTCGAGCCGCGCGCGACGGGCGCCGCGGCGAAGCGCGCCGCCCGGCCCCCCCGCAGCCGCCCCGCCGCGTCGGCGCCAAGTGGGGGCGGAGGCCCGAGCCCCGCCAGGAGGCCCCCGAACCCCTACGGCCGCGACTCTAGCGGAGAGTCGGCGGAGGGCGGCGGCGCCGGCCGCGGCGGCGCCTCGGGGGGTTCGCCCGGCAGGCGTTCCGCGTCGGGGGCTCGCCCAGCTGCGGGCCCGCCGGCGTCTTCCCGCAGCAGACCGCGGCCAGCCAAGCCAGCTGCCGCGTCGCGGCGTCCGGCGACCCCCCCGCGGCGCGGTCGCGCAGTGTCTGCTCCGCCCCTGGCCTCCCGCGCTGGGAGTTCCGCGGGCCCCTGCGACTCGGACTTAGACTCCGCCCAGGTCCGCGGCTGCCCGGCGCGTCGGATCTCGGACGCGGCATTGCCCAGGATCGTCCGAGCCGCTCAGCGGCCAGCGGCCTCCGAGGAGGGCGCGACCACGGCGGCTGCTTTGCCCAGGCGGCCTCCTCGGCCTTCGGGTGCCAGCCGGAGCCGGGGCCGCTCTAGGTCGTGGGTGGAGCATCTTCGGGGCGCGGCCCTAAGCGTTCAGCAGGTGCAGCAGGGCCCCCGCGCAGCCGATCGGGCGCTGGGCCGACAGGCATGCGCCATTCCAGCAAGGGCGTTACGCCGCAGGGGGGTGTGGGGGGGCTCGTGCTGTCGTTTCGCTGCACAGCCAATCGGCGCGCCACCTGCTGGCCGCTCGGAGCCCCCGTCAAAAGCGTCGCAGGCGCGCTGTCCTCCTGCCGACGTCGAAGGCTCCGTCAGCAGCCTCTTCTTGCTGGTGCTCCCGCCCCGCCTCGCATGCCGATGCCTTCACCCACTGGGCTCAGGCTTGGCACCGTGCGGCCCCGCGCCTCTCGCGCGCTCTTCGTTCGGGATTCCGATTTGACTCCCTAGTACCTCGATCGCAGATCGCGATCGGTCGACGCGCTCGAGCTGCGGGTCGTCGAGCACGCCGGAGCGACTCCGACCGCGCTCCACCGAGGCGGCGCACTTCTGTCGCGAGCGCTAGCCACCTTCGGAGCATGGCTGCACGGCCTGGCTTCCCCTGTTGCATCCTTGCGCATGCCCTGCTGGGCGCATAGTCAGCGCGTCCCCGCTGGCAGGCGTCCCTTACACTTGGCTGGGACGTCGCCAAACAGTGGGAGATCGCAGGGCCTCCCGAGCTTTGCCCACCTCTGCCTCGCGCACCCTAGCGCCCGATCGTTGGCCTCTGCCCTATGTGGGACTGGCCAGATATGGCCGCCTTGCTGATGCTCGGTTTCATTATGCTCCTTCGCCCCAGGGGAACTCACGAAGGCAAGAAGGTGCGACCTTTTCTTGCCGTCGGACCGTCTCGAACCGAAAGGTGACGCCCTTCTGGCCATCGCGGCGCCGAAGATCCGACTCTCCTACCCCGCTCAGCACGCGATGTGTTCGGATCGTCGGTCGGTGGACCTGTTCGAATGTTTTTTTGTTTGACATCTCGGTTCTACCGATCCGCTCGCCCCCTCCAAGGCTAGCGGCTCCCGTATTCGGTGGAACCACTTGCTTTCGGCGTTGGGCATTCCGCTCGCCGAAGCCGCCGCTGGACCGATCTCGGCCCCTGTTTGTCTTCGGGTGTCAGGCGCCGCTGACTTCCACGTAGCTACAGAAGACGTTCCTCGCGTCTTCTTGCGAGGCAGGTGGCGCCCTGCGTCGAGTGCTGAGCGCCACCCCCAAGCCGCTGCTGCCTCGACTGTCCTTGCGTCTCTCTCCAAGGCCGCCGGGACTCAGGTGCTCTTCTTCGCCTCCGCCAGCAGTCGCTGGCTTGCCTCTTTTCCGCTCGCTGGGTCGTCAGCCTGGTCAGTCCAACTCACGGCCGCCCGCCAAAACCTTGTCACTTCGCAGGGGCTTTAAGCCTGGGCACGGCTGCACCGTCTCGCGGCGGCCAGGAGCCCCGTTCCTGAGCGCGGCGCGTCGGCCCCCTCGCGCCTGGCCGCGGGCCTGCCCCGCCGTTGCGCGCGGAGGCGCCGGCACGCGCGCGCGGAGACCGCTCGTTAGGGCGGAGCGAGAGAATGTTCCCTCTTATTCGTTGCCCCCCCCCCCGCGGTCTGTGCAGTGATTCCGGCCCCCCTCCCTACCCTCCTGGCCTCGCTGAGGCTGATGGCGCACGCGCTGCGTGGCCGCCTGTGCGCGCTGCGGGGGCTGGGCTGTCTTGCCCCCCAGCGCGCGCCGGCTGCGCCGCTCTTTGGCGGCCAGGAGCCCAGCTTCTGAGCGCGGCGCGTCGGCCCCCTCGCGCCCGGCGGCGGATCTGTCCCGCTGTCGCGTGCGGAGGCGCCGACGCGCGCGCGCGGAGACCGTTCGCCAGGGCGGACCGAGAGAATCCTCCTCCTCCTCCTCCTCCTCCTCCTCCTCCTCCTCCTCCTCCTCCTCCTCCTCCTCCTCCTTCCTCGGAGCCGGCGTGCTGAGGTGCAGGCCACCCGGTGGCTGGTCCACGCCCAGGGTTGCCAGAGCAAGGTCCTGGAGGGCATGCTGCGCACCAACGCCTGGAGGCAGGCGCCCTTTGTCCTGCGGGGGGGGGGGGGGGGCGAGGACTCAGCTTGACCCCGAAGGGGTCGGCCACGGCCACGCACAGACGGAGTGTGGGGAGGGGGGAAGGTTTTTTAGAAACATTTCGCTCTTTACAAGACGCTGGCCTTGTCTGTAGAGTAAGTTCGGCGCCTTCTAAGAAGCAACCTATTTCTAAGAAGCTTTCTCCCCTCCACCATACCCTCTTGTGCGCGCCGCCACAGGGGGTCCAGCGAATAGATATGTGGGGTTGCAAAATATTTGGGCCGTGCAATACATTCCGGCGCACAGATGTATTGTTGGCGTTCGCGTGCAATGCAGCAGTTGCAATACAATTCAGTACACTTCTCTGGCGCAACACCTTTTGCAATCGGATTGCCCCAAAATTGTTGCGCCACCCCCTTTCAGCTGGACCCTTTTTGGGGTCAACCAAAGAGGACGCTGAAGTGGTTTTCTTTGTCAAACCATCTCTCGGAGGTTTCTGTGGTCCTGTGCGGTTCCCCCCGAGGTCCTCGGAGGTTTTCACATGCGTTCGGGCCCCACACTGTTGGATGCCTTCGGGGCCCCACGTTTTTTTTGTCAGCGGTTGCGCGCTGTGTAGGGGTTCTCGGGGAGCCCGTAGCCGACGCAAGCGGCCGCCCGAAGCCCGATTGTGTGGTGGGACGTCGTCGTGGGGCACGGGGGGCCAGTGCTGGGAGGGGACCGGGGGCGACGGCGCGGCCACAGGGGCGAGGACGGCGTGGAGGTTGTCGAGGGCGGCGACGACGAGGGCGGGGGGGGGGCTATGGGCAGGGCGGGGAGGGGGGGGGCGGCGACGACGTGGGGGGGGGGGGGCGGCGGACTCACAGTCCGTGACACCCTCGAGTCTCGAACCAAAAAAGCGACGGAAGGGTTGCGTGGCAATGTTCAACATCCCAGGTCCCTTCACGGGTCCTGGGTTTGTCAAACATCGATTCAGAAAGGAAATCAGTCCCGAGGAATCGGTCGAGATCTCCTGGGGGTCGACGTTGTGAACACAACAGCGCGTCGAGGGTCCGGGGGCCTGGAAAGGCGCGGTCTCGCAATTGAACTCACGAAGTAATTCAGATGATGCCCCGCGGGGCTGCGACCGCCCCGCCGCGATCGCGGAGGAGGGGGGGGTCGGCGATGTTGAGGTCGAGCGCGAGGACGCCGATGACAGTGAGGCGAAGAAGCGTGAATCCGAGAAGAAAAAAGCGACGCAAACAGGAACGTGCGGAGCTCCGCGCAGATTTCTGGATCGACGCTGGTTTCCCCTGGCTGAATCCGTTCCAGGGGTGGGGGGAGAGGTTGTTGGACGTTTTTGGCGGCTCTCGGCAGTTCTCCAGCCTCGGAAAGCTCTAGTGGTATGCCATGTTGCATCGCATTGTGTTGCCTTGCTTCTGCTGAGTGCATCGGATCGTGTATCATCGAATCGTGCAGCATAGATCCAGAGCAAAGGCAGAGTACAAGGGGGAGGGTGGCAGCAAAATGCTGTCTTGCGGCCCTGCCACTGCTATTAGCCAGTGTGCGACTTAGTTTCGTCAGTCTGTGATGCGGTTGCACGTGCAGCAGCTCCCACCTGGGTGGAGGGCTGCGGCCCGCTCCTATCCTGCGTGGCGACGTGCGCCGCCGGGAGGAGCAGGCCAGCAGGTATTCAAAATCGAGTCCCTTGTATGTTTTCCCGTTACCAATTTGGCTCAAGGGCCGCAACCTGCTACCTTCCCTAGCCAGGCCTATGCCGCTCAAGTATAGTGATGCGCATTTAGAGCAGAAGCGAGAGGAGAGTAGACTAAATCGAATATGCCACACCGTCCACAAGCTTCTGGTCGGGATTGCCTCCCTGGGCAACGATGTCGATTCCGATCTCGCCGAGGCACAGGTCCACGAAGGAGTAAATCACTTACAAGAGGTCTCCGGCCGGACCGGCCAGGCAGACCACCAAACCACTGGTTGCTAGCTTTGAGCAGCTCGATGGCGGACATACTGGCTCTTGTCTTCCAGCAGTTCCTGGGCTGGTGCCACTGCCGGCGCCCGAGTTGTTAGCGCTTTTGCCAGCGCCAGCGTAGGCTCAGCCAGCCGCGCAGGCGATGCAGATGATGCCTTGCTCGGCGGCGCCCGATGCTGGGCACGTAGGGGACATGACGATGGACTTATCCGCAGCCCTCGGCGCGATGATCGACGTGCACGAGGAGGAGGCCCGGCTGCGTCAGCAGGCGCTGCAAGCCTTCGAAGCTCGGGCTGAGGGGCGTTTGGTGAGCGCTCTGGCTGAGCACGAGGGCGCGGTGATGCACCGTGCGCGGATCGAGGTGGAGACATGCCGCCTGGCGGCGGCCCGTGCGCTGGATGAGGTCACCGCCAGCGCGGACCAGTTCCCGTTACGCGAGCGCGTTGCTTTGGAGGCCCGCCAGGCGGATTTAAGGGCGCAGGTACGGCAGGAGATGGACTCCTAAGGACTCCTATGCGCTGGAGCTTCGGGCCGGCAGTCAGCACAGCGTGGAGAGCTACGCGGTCTCCGTCCGAGACCACTTCGAGTGGCAGTTCGCGGCGTGCGTGCGCCAGGTGGAGCAACATGCTCACGAGCTTTGCCAGACCTTCGCCGCCTCGGTGCGCGAAAAGTCGCGCGGGGAGCTCGCCGAGGCTGAGCTGGCTGCAGCGACGAGGCATGCGAGCGACGAACACGAACTCGCGCGCGCTCGTGCCTGCGAGGCTCATGTCGGCAAGGCCTTGCGCCTGGAGATCGTGAGCTCGCGAGGCCAGGCGAGCGCGGAGAGGGAGATCGCCGTCTCCCAGTGCCGATTTGCGGAGCAGACTGCCCAGGAGGGCGCCAGTGCCCATGCTGAGCAGTAGCGTGTCCAGCTCCGCCGCGAGCGCAGAGAAGGGCGGGATCGCGCTCTTGACCTTCCGAGCCGCCTTGGCGGTGAGGAGGCCCAGATGATGGATCTTCGTGCTCGCCTTCGTGCTGCCGGAAACCGCCTTGAGCACGAGGAGTTCGAGGCGGCTGAGCTGCGCGCCGCCGCCCTCGGCATGCAGGGCCAGGTGGACGACTTCGTCCAGCGGTTCACGGAGGGCACGCAGCACGTCCCGGAGACCGAGCAGGGCCTTGTCGAGAACGCGGAGGCGGTCGCGGAACACGAGGAGTCCATGGCCGCACGGCTCAGGGAGGAGATGCAGCACCAGCAGCAACTCCACCCCAGTTCAAACCCAGTTCAACCCAAGAGCCGTTTGGTGGCAAAGGGGTGGGACGAGGGCCGCATGGTGGTACGCTGGACGCCTCGCTGAGCCACGCCGCCAGCCAGCCTGAGGGTGCGACCTCGGCGCCAGGCGCTCTGCGTATGAAGCCATCGGCCGACCCCTTCTGGGTACGCTCCTTGGCCCAGGGCGCACGTGCTGCGGATCCGCCAAGAGGGCAGCAGCGCGCCGCCCTCCGCGGTGCACAGACGTTCGACATCGGCGCCTACGACGACGACGATTCCGACGAGGAGTCCATCGGCGAGGAGACGGAACGACGGCGAACTGCAGCGAAGTCGATCGACATGGGGAAGGCGCCCGCAGGCCTAGGCTTCCAGACGCGGCTCTACGAGGTGTGCGTCGCGTGCTGCTCCGCTTCGAATCGGGGCCGGAGGAGGACCATGAGGTTCCTGGAGACGGTCGAGACTGCCACATCCCACGTGCCTCTCGAGAGGGTGACCCGGAAGTGGGAGCGCTTTGACGCCGAGCTATCGGTTGCGTACCTCCGCTTCGCCAGCGGGGAGACTCTGCGCAAGATGAAGACGTACAGAGATGGGCAGCTGAAGCTCGGTAGCGACGTATCAGGGAGAGTCGCGCTGTGGTTCATCCTCCAGAAGTGCGACGTGGAGGCCGGAGCCATGCTGCTGGTTGAGCTGCCCCGCTCACGGGGCAAGATCTTGGAGGAGTTCGAGGGGCCAGTCTCGGAGGACCCAGTCACAACAGTGGCCGTTCCGCAGCTGCGCAGGGCGGCCGAGTCGAAAGCATACGCATCGTTGGCAGTGGAATTCGACATCTTCGATCGCGCTGCTCCCGGCTCGCCGGAGAAGTTCGTCGAGATCCTGTATTGGTGCGCCCACAACTGCCTCCCCAGGATCGACCGCGAGGCTATGAGGACATCGTTGACGAAGTCGGCCTCGGCGGCGCTGGCGCTGCCGGGGGGGCCTCCCGTGGCGGGGCCGCGTTTCGGCTGGATCCGAGGCGAGCGCAAGCGCGGCGCCGCGTTCAAGTAGACGCGCGACCCGAAGGCCGCGCCGAAGCAGGCGCTGGGCGCGGGCGCGGCAGCGGACAAGGGCAAGGCGGATGGCAGCCAGGATAATCGACGACCTGGCCCAGCTGCTTTGGGGCGATGAAGGGCCGCATTCAGGAAGGCGGCTTTTCTTGAAGGGGAAGCGCAATAAAGGGCAAGGGTTGCATGCTCACGCGCAGCATCGAGGACCCGATTAAGGCCCGAGGGCGACCTGGAGGCGCAGAGACGAGCCGCGGGTGGAGAGAAGCATGGTGCTGGAGGTGATGGAGCTGGCGCCGTGCTCGGCGGCGCTCCGAAGAAGGCGACGCCGTCGGTCGCTCGGCCTACGCGCGACGACGAGCACGGAGAGTGGATCTGGGACACGGGCGCGGCCTTGGACGTGGCCAGCGAGAACGTCGAGGGCAAGAGGGGCCTCCCGACGGCCCCGCCTATTTTGAGCGCTGGCGGGGTTTGTTCGGTCAGCCTTCATCGCGGTCGTGGCGCCGATGCCGGAGATCGCCGGCATGGCCGAGGCCGCCGCGCTCGCTGGCTCGCCGAACGCGCTCAGCGCTGGTAGGCGCCGCGCGCTACAGGGCCACGGCTTGCGCCGGCATCCCTGGCGCGCCAAGCCGGAGATAGTTGCCCCCGACGGCGCTCCAATATAATGCCACGCCGACGCGTTCTTCGTCCCGAATGTCCGAAGGGCGCGGCCGCGCAGGGCGATGCCGGTCGTCGAGGGTGCAGGAGTTG